TTATTTGGTTGTATACTTACTTGTGCAGTGTATTTAGACTTACATAAAGTCTTTCACATTTTAATTGCAAAATCAAAATGACGGACGTCGCTTGTCCCTCTAAAGGCGGTTTTCCACTAGCGATATATTTCGCGCGAAAGAATAAAGTCGCTTCGCTCGAAAAATAACGCTGGTGGAAAACCAGCTTTAAGTCAGGGCCTCGGCTTCGCCTCGTGAAATATCGACCGGACTCAGGTTCCCCAAACATAATTTTTCCTTCGGTCGACGGTGAATAAGTGTTACTTTAATTACTCATGCGAGGGTGAATACAATTCAAGATTAGCCTAGCCATGCCGGTTGAGTCGGATTTGGCATACTTACGAACAAAACGCATGCATATTAGCACGATAAAACCGAAAAAATATTTGGAGTGCCTCGTCGAGATCCTTTAGCATTCGTGCCTAGGTTTCGGCACGTATTTTTCGTGGATTGCAGATTTTTGATGTACACTGTCAATGACACAAATTTTAATCGTAGCTACGTCACGATATTAAGGAAAATGAACATAATGAAGTGGAAGCTTCAACAACATTAAAACGGTGTACTTTAATATCCCAATTGCTAATAGTTTGAAAAGCTCTAAATTTCCATTTTTAATGCAACCGTTTGTCAAAATCAGCCTTGCTTGACTTCCTGACTTTTATCCATTATTTTACAGTTTTGGCTTTCTGGCCTTTCTTAGATTCTCTAGGGATATTTAGTTTGTTTGCATAATAACATTCTGCCATTTTGTTTTGTCATGTAATAATTAATCTCATTATCGCAACCTCGTGAACCATTTTGTGTGAAACTGGATGCGCCTGATGATGTACAAAAAGTAAATGCGACCATTTCAATTCACCAAGTTCAACAACAAGAGAAAACAATGTTGTGATTTTGACGAATATGCTATGTTCAAGTCCAGATAAGATTTATTTTTCCACGAATCTCGTCTTTCATAATTAATTTCGATTATAGTTGTTTTATCTCCGCAGAAAAGTTCTGCATCTCGACTGTGTCAATGTTCATCAACGAAAGGATCCCTCAACGCCTCGTGAGCATAAGGTCTCTCATGAATTTTGTGATTGATCAGCCTCGACACAAAATTTTGAGCTTTGCGATCACCAAGTTTCTTCAAATTAACAGAGTTCCCTTTTGATATATTTCTCATTCGATCAAACCTGGAACCAAAAGGGTGTTCACCTTTAGTTAAGACGTAGAAAGCAATCATACCTGCTACCTGGACATCTGATTTCCTTTTATAACGACTTTTCTCATCTTTCTCAATGGCTTGAGCTACTTCCGATGGCATCCATCCAGGAGTACCTTTGGCGAATGTTACAACTGTTGTTTCATCGTCATTCAAAATACGGCTTATTCCAAAGTCTGCCAATTTCATGTGACCTTCGATATCAACCAGGACGTTTGAAGGTTTTAAATCTCTGTGCAATATTCCTTCACCATGAAGAAATTCAAGTCCTGATAGAATTTCCCTAATCATTCGTGGACCATGCTCTTGTAGATGTTCAATACTGCATGCATGAACAAGTTCTCTCAAGTTTTCCTCGCAAAGATCAACAATAAGATACATGAACTCATTGCCAGAGTGAAAATAACGATAACTCACTATAAATGGACAGTTTTTCGTTTCAATGAGACTCATGATTTCCTTTTCGTTTTCAACTGTTTTGTCCTCACTTGGCACCAAAACTCTCTTAACAGCAACTTCACTTTCATCCTTCATGACACCAACATAGACACGTGAGCCACAACAACCGTCGCCAATTTTGAATTGATTCGTTGCGACAAAAGCCTGAATCGGTATTTCAGTCTATTGGAAAAAGAGATAGATATTAGATGCAGAGGGCAAAATCTGGTAATAAGTTATATTGTGCAAACGAATATTGAAAACTGTCTACGGAATCTAAATGCTCGTCTTCGCGGTGCGACAGCGTAGATCATGAACTCCATTTTCACCTTTATTATATACGCAAAACTGATTAAAACAACTTCATATATAATTATGTATTTCAAAAATTACCTTTTCTAACTGGTTGTGGTTCATTGTTTTCAACATCTCAATTTTCTCGCGATGTTTTATGGACCTCTTTAGAATAGTTTTTATTTCATCATGACCAATGTAAATACTCCATTCAAGAAGACTCATTTGCCTTCCCTCGACAAGAAATGTTCCAGCTCTCGAAACAACTATGTTCTTTTGCAAGAGGAGTTTCACCAAAGCAACTGAATTGTTCACAACAGCCATCCTCATGATGTCAGTGCCAAGAGCGCTGATATTACTTTTAGGAGTTATGTCAGCACCCTGTTCAATTAAATACTTGACAATTTCTAATTCACCTGTATCGACAGCGGCGTGCAGGACTGTCCAGCTGTCAGAATTCTTACCATTTACATTAGCGCCATTTCTGACTAGATATTTTACCACATTTAACGTAGCTTTCGTAACGGCGCTGTGCAGCACTGTCCGTCCGTTCGTCGTCTTACCAATTACATCAGCGCCATTTTCAACCAGGTATTTTACTACATCCATCGTACTTTTAGTAACAGCGTAGTGCAACACTGTCCTACCGTAAATATTTTCGCCATTTACATCAGCGCCCTTTTCAACAAGATGTTTCACCATTTCTAGCGTACCTTTAGAAACAGCATAGTGCAAGACTGACCATCCGTCAATATACTTGCCATTTACATCAGCCCCCTTTCTAATGAGATATTTTACCGTTTCGTGTGCTCCTTTAGCAACAGCACTGTGCAGCACTGTCCATCCGCTACTATCCTTGCCATTTACATCAGCGCCATTTTCAACAAGGAAAATTACCATTTCTAGCGTACCTTCAGTAACAGCACGGTGAAGCACTCTCGATTCATCAGTATCCTTGCCATTGACGTCAGCCCCATGTTCAACAAGGTATTTTACCATATCTAGCTTACTTTCAGTAAACAGCACTGTGTAGAACTGTCCGCCCGTCAATATCTGTGCTATTAACATCAGCGCCGTTTTCAACAAGGTATTTCACTATTTCTGGCTTACCTTTAGCAACAGCACTGTGCAGCACTGTTGACCCGTTAGTATTTTTGCTGTTAATGGCATTCACAGCAGCGCCTTTTTCAACAAGATATTTCACTATATCCAGCGTACCTTTAGTGACAGCAGTGTGCAGTATTGTCGACCCGTCAGTATTTTTACCTTTTACATCAGCCCCCTTTTCAACAAGATATTTTACCATTTCTAGTGTACCTTTGCTAACAGCATAGTGCAATACTGTCCATCCATCAGTATACTCGCCATTTACATCGGAGCCATTTTCAACAAGATATTTTATGATTTCTAGCTTACCTTCAGTAACTGCATTGTGCAGCACTGTCCACCTGTCAGTATTTTTACTTTTTACATCAGCGCCATTTTCAACAAGGTATTTTACCATTTCTAGCGTGCCTTGACTAACTGCAAAATGCAGCACTGTCTCCCCATTAGTATCCTTGCCATTTACATCAGCCCCATGTTCAACAAGATATTTTACCATATCTAGCTCACTTTCAGTAACAGCACTGTGTAGAACTGTCCGCCCGTGAATGTCCGTGCTATTTACATCAGCGCCGTTTTCAACAAGGTATTTTACTATTTCTGGCTTACCGTTAGCAACAGCACTGTGCAGCACTGTTAACCCGTTAGCATTTTTGCTGTTAATGGCATTCACAGCAGCGCCTTTTTCAACAAGATATTTCACTATTTCCGGCTTACCTTTAGCAACAGCAGTGTGTAGTAATGTCCTTCCGTCAGTATTTTTACCTTTTACATCAGCTCCCTTTTCAACAAGATATTTTGCCATTTCTAGTGTACCTTCGCTAACAGCATAGTGCAATACTGTCCATCCATCAGTATACTCGCCATTTACATCGGCGCCATTTTCAACAAGATATTTTATGATTTCTAGCTTACCTTCAGTAACAGCATTGTGCAGCACTGTCCACCCGTTAGTATCCTCTCCATTTACATCAGCACCATTTTCAACGAGATATTTTACCATTTCTAGCGTACCTTTACTAACTGCAAAATGCAGCACTGTTTCCCCATCAGAATCCTTTCCATTTACATTAGCGCCCTTTTGAACGAAATATTTCACAATTTCTAATGATCGAGACTGTATTGCACTCCGGAGAGCTCTACAATCATCTTGAAAATTATGTTCCGGGCCATATTGCACAAAATACTTAACAAGATCGAGTAAACCAGTTCTTGTCGCGTTACAAAGAACTGTTTCACCATCATCGTTCTGGGAATAAATGTCTGCTCCATGGTCAACTAAATATTTAACAATTTTTTGATCTGCTGGAGTAAACTGAAAAGCACGCCAAAGAATTGTTTTCTTCCAACTATCTTTTTTGTTTGCGCCACATTCAACTTGCCTTCTTATTTCGTCCCAAAATTTCTGTTTTCCTTCTTCACAGACGTTTGTACTTCCACTTGCCTCTTGCTTTTCATCACTTTCTATATATGGGGGTATTAACATAATAAATTCGTACAAATTTGGTAGCGTTTTTTACGATCTTCCAGGACATCATTTTCAATGCAAACTTGGTAGTTATTTGTCAAACACAGTCTGAATATGACTTTTTATTCAGTACTTTCGTTTAATTTCATGGGTTTCTTATTTCCTCGACGGCCTTTAAATTTCAATGTAAATATATATCTTCACGCAATTTTATTTATTACAAAAAAATGAGTTCAGTAATTGTATTTTGGTATAATTAATAATATTAATAGAGCGAAAAAGAGAACAATTAATGCCAAAATAATACCAGTGTTTACAAATTAAACCGAGCACGTAGCAGGAGTTGATTTGCTAACCACGAGTGTGATTTGGGCATCTATTATCCCCCAGTGGGCGCGGAGCGCCTGCGAGGGTACTAATTCCGATCGGAGATTAGGAATTACACCCGGAACCCGGGAGAACATAGCCGATTCCAAAGTTGTCCATATTCTTTGTCATGGACGATCGACGTTGGGTGGTTTTGTAAGTTTTGCGCATGCGCGAGTAATGACTGTAATCTACAAACGTTTTGATTAGCTAAGACAGAAAGTTTGTATTTTAATGAGAACGTCAGCAATCTAACTTTCATTTCGTGAACTTTTTTGTAAACGCGTTTCATAAACTTTTTCATGACTTTGTGCAAAGGAAACAAAGAAGAAACAAGATGCATGAAACATGACAGATAGCAAAGATGAACATGGATACAGTCATGCACTCAAGAAAAAGCCGAGTAAGAAAATAACTTATAATCTACATGTTTATAAGTGATTTCAAAGGGTAAATGTTTACTTTGTTTATTTCGTATTTGTTTCGTAGTAAGGACGAGATTTATTTGTATACTTTTCGGCTTTTGTATGCAGTTTATTTGTTTAATTTTCAGCTTTGTATAATTTTCAGTTTTTTATGCAAACGAATAAAACCAGTGAAAGGCTATTTTCAAAAAGTGATTTGGATACTTTACAGGATAGCGTGATACTTTACGCGGGATATTGCGAGACTTTTCGAAAGCGTGAAAAAGTACGAGTCGTAGGCGAGCGTTTTTCTTACGCTTTCTGAAAGTCGAGAAACTATTTAGTATTTGTTTAATAAAATAAATACAATGGAACAATTGTAACTTTTCGTGCGGGATTTTCTCATTTTGAACGCCAACTAACCAATGAAATTGCGAGTTTCATTGCACTTATTATATAAAATTTCATACCGTTATGATATTTTTTGTTTTCAATGTTTTCTTCTTGAAGTTCCACTTCAATTCCTTTTTGTTCATTAACAACAGGCTTGGATTGTTTATTTCCCAACGCAGATATATCATCTAATTTCCCAGATATTCCTGTACGATTCTTTTCTGCCAAAGTTAAAGTTATGTCGCTCTCCTCACGCTGGGATATGTTGACATTATCATATTCCATGGATTCAGTCATTCTCATCTTATTTGGCGAAGCCGCCATCTTCGAGCAAAACGGCTATGCCTAAAACAATTCAGACTTCATATGAAAATAGCACGTTGCATGTGCGCCTTTCTAAAAAGCAAACTTCTATTTAATTTTGTAAACCCATAATAGAATTTTACTAGAAATACATACATTTACTAGAACTCAGGCAAAGCTAATGATTTATGAAATGACTGGAATGAGTCGAAAGCTCATAAATGTTTCTTTTTTGCAGAAACCAATACAGTCATAAAAGTGAAGTAAACATCGCCCGTTTTACCACGCCATTAAGCTGGCAATTTAGTCCTTATGTATTGTCATTGTTAACTGCAAACACACAGTAATATTCTAATAGGTCAACCATCTTGACATGTTCACAACAATTACGATTAAATGAAATTAACTTAAGCTGGGCTCTGAAGAGGAAATTATCCTCTTTTATTATATGGATAGGGGTATTTTATTGAGGACTAAAACACTCGTACAATTCATACGCCACTATGTGACATGTTTACGTGATGTCTATGTCATGTTTATGCCATGTAAATGTCGTGTTTATGTCATATAAATTAATGTCATACGGTATGTCATGTCTATGTCTGGGGGTCACATAACGATTTTCAAAAATTTTCGATTTGAATTCAGAAATATTAAAAGATAAATTTACAACTGAACTATTTGTCTTAGTTAGAATTACTTGTTCCCGACACTTTTACGATTAAATGGAGAACACGCTTAATTGGGGTTGTATATTGAAGCATTTTCAATCACCGTAACTACGTTCGCTATCGAATGACATCCGGCAGTCACACGGTTACGAATTTGCGAATATGAAACCCTAAATTTAGAGCCCCTACCTCAAGATAACCTTTGCCGGTTGATTCTTGGCGAGATATATCGTGGTCTCTAAGTTTAGCGTGAACATAGCCCAAGTCACTCATGAGTAAAATTCGTCTAACGTAGCAATCGATAAAGTCTGTTTTGAAATTTAAGTAATGGACCCTTAGACCACAATCCTTGCGCGAATGCGCTAAATTTCACAAAATTTCTTATGGATTTTGAGCACTGTCGTACTGAAACAAATTATTGTGATATAACACAAGTTTATTTATCAAAGTCCTGGCTTCAATGGTTTATAGCCTACAACATTGACAATATATTAAATAAAGAGCTTTGTGATCTACATTCCAGCAAACCTACCTTCATCGCTGTCTGTCCCCGCTGTCGTCAGTGGTATATATTCGTTATTAGCGACAGCATGCTGCTGTGATGCTCTCTTAAAACGAAAAAAAACCTTATTTATTCTGAAGTCTAGTTCGCAACATATAACTAAAAAGACCAGAATTTTTTGAATATTATCTTGCAATTATAGGCAATTAGCCACAATAAGGGTTTCCACAATGCAAGGAAATTTCCTTGCGATTGACAACACAAGCGTGAGAGGGATCTGTGTTGATATGATATATGATGCATTCTTTTCAAAAGTATTTTGTTGCTGTTTTTTCCAATGTTGCTTCCCCCTATGAGCCATATGCGAATAAGTTGTGGAAACCCTTGCCTAAATTCTGGCACAGTATGTTGGCTTTTGCTGGATTTCCTCCTGCAGAGAAATATTAGCCAGCGAAATATTTGCATATTTTCTTTTGAATTGAGAGCAGTCAAATTGAACAAATTTCTTTATTTTGGTAAAATGCCACCAGTTATCTTACTTGAATACACACTGCTTCTTCTATTGCAGGTCAAAGTATCCTCTTCTATTGTTGAGAACAATACGTTGAGAACGCTAACTGGCAGTCCGAGTTCCCAAACGAGGTTTTATTCTGTCGAATTTTTTCATCTTGTATCTTGCATCATATAATCATGTTTACATATCAAAAGAACAATAGATGAATATATGAATATACACCGGCACCACTAATTACGCTTTTAGCTACGGCCTGTGTACAGTTGTCACAGCTTGGGGTGGACCCCCCCGGTCCATATCTATATTTGTACCGGGGATCCGCTAGCGGATATAGACCTACGGGGGTCCAATTCGGGGTCCGATTCATATACATAATATTCAACCACCATCACATTGCAAAATGAAGTTTAGTCTTCTAGCTAAACATATAGAAGGCCTCGCGATAGAAATATATTCGCGCTGCAAAGGCTGCTGATTTTAAGGGATTAAAAGTGCGCTCAGACTTTAAAATTTAATGTTTTGAAAGGATATCCTTGATTGAATTAGCTCTATCATTTTCGTCAAGACTACAGATGATATAATTTACGTCTTTTAATCCATTTATTTGTAATTTTTTTCAAATTGTTGTTTTGCATGTGTGCATGTGTGCATATGCGCTCCTTTGGAAGTTGCTTTGAGTTTAATAACATTTTTCGCGTCTAATGATTGCGAATATTATATAGTACATGCAGGGTGTCCCAAAAAAAACACACAACATTCAAATATGCAAGAATATTAGTATTGTTCGGGTTTGCACCATAGTTCAGCTAAAATGACTTTTAGCATTGTAAATGAAGGATTAAGAGCCATTTTCAATTCTCAGAGGTGCTTATCTATTAGGCTTTAGAGCATTAATGTTCTGCATATTTAAGTGGTTGCTTTTTTTTGGGACACCCTGTATACCACTTGACAAGGTTGTTCTTCGTAGCACTTCATTGGTCGAGAGCGAATCACGCGGGAGTGACGAAATATTGATGTCGCTCGCTGGACTCCCTGCAGAGTGAGATAAGGCGTTTTTTCCCATTGGGAAATAAAAACTTTAGTCAAGTGCGGCGCACCTGGGCATGCCACCTTTAGACTGGTTCTTCATTTGAAATTATATGTATTCTATGAATAGATATATCGCTGTTCACCGGGTGGAAAAT